GAGCAGGCTGCAGACTTAGGCTGCTGTCCCAGCTGCTGCTGGGTCACCAGCAAAGCACACACCTCACTGTGCTCCACCAGCCACTCTCCCCACACCTCCTGCAGCAAGAGGCACCAGCAAGCTGCTGAACACACCAACAAGCAAGCATTTTGAGCAAGCTGGCTTCAGTTCTGCTGTCAGGACTCCAGCAGGGGCTCAAGTCCTACCTAAGGAGATCAGATACCCACTGATGGACACTCAGGCAAAGCTGGAGTGATGGACACATAAAAGGGGCTGAGCATCCCCAGCACCTGCTTCTTCTTCACTGAACTTTTTTTCCCCACCTTGGACTAATGACAAGGAAAATCCTTCACTAAGCTCCAAAAGATGAAGCAAATAATTTGTTTGCTTGATCTTTGGGGTACCACAGCACTGGGGCTCACTGGCACTGTGAGCTCTCACCCTGTCAGACACAAGCGCTCAGCTGCTGCCTGCAGCAGGGAACTCCTATGCAGGAAGCTGAGTGGTGCTGGCTCCTGCGTTTGATTTCCAGGATCCAAGCCACAAGGAGAGCTAAAAATGTCCCAATTAACCATTTCTTTTCAACACAAGACTTGATGATGATGCCACAAGGGTATTATACAACTGCAAACAAGAAGAGGTGATCTGCAAATCACACTAAGAAAAGTAAGAAATCAGAAAAAAATTACTTCAAAAAGAAATCAAAGCAAGCTAGCCAGGACTGTAAGCTCTGAATTCAACCATGGACCTCATGGCCAAAAATGCAGAGAAGCTTGTGCTACTTGCAATTGTGGTGGCTGGCTCTGAGGTGCTTGCAAGCTTTCTGGTGTGACACACAAAGGGTATATAATTTCTGTTCTGCACTGATTACACACAGAGAGCTCGTTCTGGCCAAAGCCCATACAAGCTGTCTCCTGGATCAGCTGGCTGCTTATCACGGTGCCATCCTGCATGTCAGGAGTTAAGCAGGAAACTTTTATTCCCTGTAAAACCCATTGCAAAGAGACAGCTACACTCCAGAACCAAGGATTTCCTCACATGAAGATTTAGCAGCAGATTTTTTTATCACTGCCCAGTTATTGCAGTGACATGTAGACTTTAAACACGGTCTGTGGGTAATACTGGAGTACATTACTCACAGCAGCGCACCCGGGAGAACCAGCAAATCCTCTCCATTTGAGCCCGAGCGTTAGCTTTACCCTGGAATTACATTTATCTCTCTGGCACTAGGCTCTCATTAATGGAATTACCAGGCAGGCTGCTTCAGACTTAACACTTGAGAGAGGCGGGCTGGGATGGCTCCGCTCCAGCCTCAGCCCGCAAAGCCGGCACTGTTTCTCCATCCTCCAGTGAGCTGCCGCCCGAACGAGCCCGACCCCGTGACGAGAGGCAGGGAAACAAAAGGAACAACCCCGAACTGTCCAGGGCAATCAATATCTTTCTAGGAACATCCAGGCTTCCCGCCAGCTTTCTCGCAACCCCGATTTAGCTCTTCTGCAGTGCAGGGGGGGATGGCACGCGCAGGAGCGGCCCGGCGGGATGCGGAGCCGCCTGGCACTAAGGGACACTTAGGGACAATCTACACCGGGCCCTCTACAAGTACCTTCAGCTGAGGTGTCAAAGCAAACCCATAGCTACAGAGAGCACCCACCCACCCACCTAGGAAATCAGAGCAAGCACTCCAGTCTGAATACTTGCTTCAGAAATACCCACTGCTGCTTCAAACAGGGAGGTGTATGGTGGCAAAGCAGCCGAGACTGCTACCCTCAGCATACCAGAGTATCTTGCACATTCTAGAACTCTGCCTTCCGCCACACAGCAGCTCTTGCAGTGCCATGCTGAGCTGTCTGCAGCGTGGCATGAACCAGCCCCTTGAAGAACCCCTGCACTACCCAGTAAAATGGCCAGCTGGGATGTCCCAGGCTGCCGAGAGCTGAAGGGGATGCAGCAAGCAACCTCCCACAAAGCTGCACTGAGAGCTCTGCAACTTCAGCGTCTCTGGGGGCTGTTCTTCACACAGAGCAGCTGTAGGCTTCTCTAGGTGCTACATTCCCAGTCACCTGCAAGGCAACTTCTATCATCTCAGCATGGATGGAGCACGAGGACAAAACAGATCCACCAAAACCTGAACAATACTTGCCCAGCATTGTTCAGGAGCACAGCTCTACCAGAGCAAGTGGAAGACAGAAGGGGAAAAGCAAGCACAAAGTTTATTTATTTGCAGAGCACAGACATACCCTCAACAGCTTGAGCTGTGGGAGCTGAACTACTCTCCCCTGTAATTAAAATGAAGGAGAGGAAAGCACAGGAATTACTCCAGCATGATTGTGAAGGACTGGCAAGCTTTGAGTTTCAAAGTCCACCTTAACACACATTCTTTGCAGCGATTTTAGTTCTAAAGAAAAGGAGAAAAGAGGTTTTGCTGTGGGAAAAGCTGCTGTACAACCCCGTTATTAAACCAAACAAGGCATAAATGAGGGAGGCTGTGGCTGGGTTGATGAAGCAAGGCTGAAGACAAGCCTCTTTTCCCCCTGCCCCTGCATTTGCTCTGCCAGGAGCTCCCAGCAACATGATTCAGAGGCAGACTGCCCCGTGACAGGAAAAACACATATAACACCCAGGCAGTGAAACCTCACATCTGAGAGCATCTATGCAAAACACAGCCTGAAACACATTTTCCAGCTGCTGAAACGCTGTAGTGTGCATTGAAGGTAAGATTCCTCAGCAGGAGAGACTCTCAGGCATCTCCTGGTTTACTCCATATCAGAAAAAAGGGAAAAAAAAAAAGAGAAGCCTGGGGTAAAATTGTGGGGTTCTGCAGCTCAGGGCGATGTAAAAGAGACAGCAGGACACCAGAAAAAAAAAATTACACAAGTGCAGTGCTCTCCAGTGTGGCACCCAGGGGAATGGCTACAAAAACTACTTTCTTTTCAAAAAAACCAATAAGGGTAAGGAGCCATCAAAATTATGAGTCAAGCTCCAAGATAAGAAATCATACTGCTGGATGGGTGCGGCTGCTTGCTTGTTTGGTTGCTGTTGGGTTTTTTCTTAAAGATAAACATGTCTTTCAGAACATGTTTGTTGGCCAATCTTCTCTCTGACAAAAAAAAAAAAAAAACTCCACAGAAGGAAGCTCACAACCGTGAAAACGATAAATGAGAGACAGGAGAGTTTCAGAAGAGTTCTGAGGTCATGCTTCACCGGCCCTTTAAAGTGAGATGCAACACATCAAAAAGAACAAAAGAGGAGTAAATTTAAAATTCCAAGTATTTCAATAAAATATCATTCAGAGAACCTATTAAGCAAACTCTGCAAGAAGCAGACCTCATTCACAGAGCCCAAAACCTGTCAAGCGAAATAAATAAAAAACGTTTTGCACCTATTTCATTTGCAAAGCTGTTGATATATAGGAGTGTTTAATCAGAAATTCATAGTCCGGAGGAGGATAGCTCAGCAAATTCATCCAGAAAAAGTAACTTGTATCTCACAGGCAGAACTAAGGCAAATCCCACAAGAAGGGTGTAAAATTGAGCAGGGAATGGTTTTGAAACCAACAGAACGATGGCATGAACACAACCAAGGTAGAAGTAGAAAAGTACTGCAGGAAAGCAATGTGTAAAGCACCCAGGAACTCAACAGAGCAAAAGCCACAGCAAATCCCATCACTTTCACCAAATTCCCTGCTGGCTCAGTGAACTGCAGTGACTTGGTGACCACGATCAGCAGCAGTGCAGCCTGGCCAGCTCAGCAGGACTCTGCTGCTTTCCACACAGCTAGGCGTTAAGCAGCCACCACCAAGGTTATACAACAAGGTTATTCTGTAATCACCTCGGTTCTGAAAGTATTTTGCACCGGCCATCAATGCTTTTTGGGTTTTGTCTCGTCATCATCAGAGGGGAAGAAATGTGATCCAGCACAAGGGAAGATATTTACCAGAATGACAGGTTTTTAACGGAGTCCTGGATATTGCTATTGCTGAACACAGCTTTAATTAAACACTGCAAGCCCACCAATAGCTTTGTCTTCCTCAGCATAGCGCTCACAGAGAAATGACCCAATGCTCTCACCTGCTTTGCTATGCACCCCTTGATTGAGGGCATCTCCTTTTCCTGCATCCAAACTGGGCACCAAAATCCCATCTGGTCAGTGCAGCTCCCCAGAAGACTCCAGCACATGCCCCCATCTGCCATTTCAACAGGCACCTGAAGTTCCCTGCTCAAGAGCCAGCATCTCTTTCCTTGTCCAGCAGGGAATTGCCTTTAACTCTACTCCAGCTGGAGCACAAGAGCAAATGGAACTATTTCTTGGAGAAAAAGACCTCACGATTCACCACGGTGCCAGATTTCACTTCTGTGGGTGTTGTTTTCAAAGGAGACATTGCAAGGCAAGGCGGGGAGAACCAACTGCCCGCAGCAGGTTTGCTCACCCAGGCTCTTGGGCATCCCGGCTGTCCCAGCCACGCTCAGGGACCCAGCCCGATGTCCCAGCATGGATGGCAGCCAGCACCGGGGGCTCCCGGGCCGCCCGGCCAGGCCGAGTGTCACCCCGAGCCCCCGCAGGGGCAGTGCGGGCTCGGTGTCCCGAGGGCCGTGAGGAGCTGCCGGGCAGGCGAAGCGTCCCTGGGCAGGAACCGGGCTCATCCGGGCAGCTCCTGCGCCCTTCATCAGCTGGGGGGCGGGCTGGGGGCTCCATATTTTATGGGGCGGAGGGAGAGGGAGTTTGTTTTGTTGTTTCCTTCTGTTTTGACCTCAGCGCAGCCCCGCCGCCACTCAAAGACCAGCCCAGGCCCTGGCAGAGCCCGTGCCGGGCGCTCCAGCCCCTGCTCTGACCTCCACAGGCACCGCCGCCCCACACACACACAGCCGTACGCATCCTGCCCGCCAAACACACAGCCCTTCGCAGCCCCTCGCCATTCCCGTTCCCATTGCCATCTCGTTCCCATTCCCGCCCCGTTCCCGTTCCCACTCCCTTTCCCGCCCCGTTCCCGCTCCATGTCTCACCGCGGAGCGCATCCTCCTCTCCCGGTGCGCGCCCAGCCCGGCCCGCCGCCGAGCCCCTGCCGTCGCGCTCCCGCGCAGGCGCACTGGGACCACCGGCCGGGACGTGTAACTGCCGGCGGCGCACGGCGTCTCGCGAGAAGTCAATATGTCTGTGCTGGGTAGCCACACAGCTACCGCGGGGAATTAGCTCAAATGGTAGAGCGCTCGCTTAGCATGCGAGAGGTAGCGGGATCGATGCCCGCATTCTCCAGCTACTTTTCGTGCCCTCGATCCCCAGCCCACTTCCTGCTTCCAGTGCAAGCCGCAACTGTAGTGGTTTTGCGTTTTTAAATTCCTAATATTATTGTTTGCTTCCTTAACATTTTTAAAAGACCACAGAATATGCCAAGTTGGAAGGGACCCACAAGGATCATCGAATCCAAGTCTCGGCCCAGCACAGGACACCACAAGAGGCACACCCTGTGCCCCACAGCGTTTTCCAAATGCTTTTTTAACTCAGTCAGGCTTGGTGCCATGACCACTTCCCCGGGGAGTCCTTTTCAGTGCCCAAAGGAACCTTTTTCTACTATCCAGCCTAAACCTGCCCTGACACAGCTTCAGGCCATTCCCTTGGGTCCTGGGCACCAGAGAGGGGACATCAGTGTCTGTCCCTCCTCTTCCCCTCACAAGAAAGCTGGAACTGCACAGGCTCGGCAGAGTGGAGGAGTGACCTCACCTGCTCCCCGTACAGCTACACAGATACCTTTGCCCATCCCATGCTTAAGGCAGGCAGAACACTGCCTGTGTACTCCTGGCACTGCAAGAGGGTCTTTTGGTTCCTTACTGAACATCGGACAAGGCCACGACAGTGAGCAGCACCCACTGCATCCAGTTCTTCCCACACAGCCCTGGCCCCAGCCCTCCCTCTCCCATCCCACCCAGAGCAGGAAAGCATTTGGAGATCCCTTCACCTGGAGGCCTCTGCTAGAGCCAAAACACTTGTTTGTCTTCTGTAAATTTAGGAAGAAATCAAAAAACCTCAAGGAGTCATTGATGTAGGTGCCATTAATTACAAAAAGGTCAAGACCTTCCTCCCTGAATTTATCCAGGTGCAAAGTTCAAGCAAGTGCTTCACATTCTACTTCTGTTCTACTACAACAAGCCACAACAAACAACCAAAAGCTTTTAGAAAAAGAGAAGCTGTTTTTAAAAACTGATGGTGTATCATGGAAAAAAACAGGATTACACTCAACTGGCAGGATTTCCATCCCTACCACAAACTGAAGTGGGAATAAAATAATTCTGACCACTTTCCTCAGTTACATGCATAAGGAAATTACCTTTCTGGCAAATTTCAATGACAAAGAATGAAATTCAGCTTTCAACTGCTCACCAACCCCACCCTACACCTGAGGAGACTCCAAAATATCCCACCCCCTTGCCTTTGCAGCAAATTAATTCTGATAATCCAAGAAAGAACTGGATTAAAGAGAGGATGCAGGGGGGGTTTTACAGTACAAATCTTATGGGAAGCAGCTGAGGGAACTGGAGTTGTTTAGTCTGGGAAAAAGGAAGCTCAGGAGACCCTATCACTTCTACAACTACCTGAAAGGAGTTTTAGTGAGGTGAAGGGGTCTCTTCTCACAGGTGACAAGTTAGAGGATGAGTGGAAATGGCCTCAAGTTGTGTCATGGGAGGTTTAGATAGGATATTAGGAAAAAAACTATTCTCTGAAAAGATGGTCAGGCATTGGAACAGGCTGCCCAGGTAAGTGTTGGAATCCCCATCCCTGGAAGTGTTCAAAAGGCATGTGGATGTAAGTCTGGGCTATGGTTTAGTGATGAACACAGTGATGCTGGGTTAATGGATTTATATGATCATTTTGAGGTCTTTCCCAACCATCGCGACTCTAGGATACAAAGTGATTTTTTGGGGCACAAATACCCATGAATTCTCATGGGTATTCTCATGGAGACTAGAGAGAGATGCCTATACTGGCAGAAGAAATCTACTATTCCTTTCTGCAAAAAGGCAGCGCTAACATGCAAACTGAAGTCTGAAAACCAGATAAGTATATGGTTGTTGGGGTTCTTTTCACTTCAAGATTTCATTCTTGCCTTTTAAAGCTGATTTAAACTTACATTTCTGAGTCCTATACAAACTAATGAAATAACCAGCTGTTCCTACTGTGGCCTTCAAAGTTTCAGCAAATTATTCAAGTCTTCCTGTGCAGCAGGATTTAACAGGAAAGTGAAACCCATTGCAGTCTCCCATTTCATCAGCTGCTGCACAGCTGGCATGAAGAGACTGTGCTGTCAAATACACCCTTGTTTCTGCTCTGGTCCTCTCGTTTTTCCCTCTAGCTGTGGCCCCATCTCAGCCCTCAACCCCTGCAATGTCTTGGTGACCAAGGGCAACGTCGGCAAGAGGGAAAACCAGAGGACCATAAGTCTGGTCAAACTGATGCTGCATCGCCCTCTGCAGACGGGCAGGCAAACACTGCGGCAGGCTGAGACAGAAGGTGAAGAAAAGCAGGAATGTGAGAAAAATTCCGCTGACAGTACTTTTTCTGCAGGTGTGTTGGTTGATGAACATATCTGGGAAGCTCCATTTTTGGGGGACTCCATTTTCGCTGGACCCACGGTGAAAGACTGTATCCACGGGGATAAAATATTACACATACACTCACAGCACTATTTCATTATAATCCTCTCCACTCCCAAAACAACAAAACCAGTGCAACATGGAAACAACAGCTTTTCTTTTACAAGAACAAGGCAACCACATCAGAACAGTAAGAATTTCCTCCCTAATGGTTTTCTTGTGGGAATCTATAATGAGCTGCCACAGTATGGAACATCCATATGTGTGTGTGCACGCATGCAAGTCAGGGTGAGCTATTGCCTGTATTTGCTGAAAAACCCAAACCTTGCTCAGCCACCTCACTAACGCCTTGCTACCAACACCTGATTATAGACCTCCTTTTATTTTTATTTTTTTTTTAAGCTCCTGAGGCATCAGTTAAGCCCCAGTGTCAGGTTCTCCACTCTAGCTCCACAGATACTTTGCTCCCCAGTGCTTAATCAGCCCACTGACTCTTCAGGAATGACCCAAGTTTTGCATTTCCTCACCCTACAAAGCCTTACTTCAAGTTTGCACACAAGCTCAAGGAACAAATGGCTTCCAGCAATGGATCAAGTAGGATATAAACAAATCACTCACTGCAACAAATGGAGCTGGGCACATGCTTACAACTTGCTGTTTTGATCTCCACAGCTGAATTTATGGAATGAATTTTCTGGTAGGGATCACAGAGTCAAGTTAGAAAAAGATCTGTCACTACACTTAGAAGTTTATTGTCTTTAATTACCATTAAGTATATGCACAGAGGCATCATAAGAGCAGAGAGGACAGAACAGGAAACTGCTACAAGGGGAAGAGGCAGAGTTTTCAGTTTACACTAATGGCCTTAATTTAAGTATTCTTTTTTAAGTTTACTCTAGAGTTATGTGCATAAATTTAGTTTCACAATGAAGTCATCTTAAATGCAGAGACACATGTCAACTTCCTCAGATCCCAGGACCTGCACTTCATGCTTTCATGCCAGCTGTGCCCAAAGGCAGCAGGGGCAAGATGGGCATCACCGTGCTCTCCCTCCCTGCTGCAAAGACCAAAAGAGGGAGAGGATCTAAAAAAAGAGAAGATAAATTTGAATGAACTCAGAAAGGATAATGGGAAACTGTGATAAAGAGGGGAACACAGGGCAGATGTCACTGCCACACTCCTGAAGGCATCTTTAAGGAATCAGCCTGAGTCTGTACAAATAACCACATGGTTCCATGCCAGGAGTCTTCCACTGTTTCTGTGGCAAGACACACACAGGTATTTCTCACTGGTGTGTGCTGTTGGCTTTCTCAGCCCCATTTTGTATCATTTCCTCTGGATCTGTGTGTATCTCAATGAGCAGGATGGCCTGTCCTGCTTGCTGGAAAAAGGGCAATAGACTTTTCCAGAAATGCCTTTTGTTGTCTCTGCAGTGAGGGCAGCCAAAGGGTTGACAGGGAGACAGAAGCACATAACCTTTTGGCATGGCTATTTGGCCTATAAATCTAATATTTCACCAACACAGACCAGAGTGTATTGGGTGCTTTGCCCAGGGCAGGAGGTCTACAGAAGGCCCACGTGATATGAACCTCTCTGAAACCTCTAACAAACACTAGACTTTGTCCTTTAGAGACTCCTGATAAGGGCAGTGAAGTGGGAACCAAGAGCAGAGAGATGCCAGCAGTGGCTGGATAGGCAATGACACCTTTGCTGCTGGGCTGAATGACAGGCATCGACTCCAAATTACCTGATTGACAGGCAGATCTCCTGTCAGCATAAACTTTCTTCCTAACACTGGTGGTCTTCCTGAAAGCATCATGCCAAGCAAAAAGGGCAGAGCCATCCTGCACCAGCCTCAGCATCCCCTCCATTTCCTGCCAGGGAGCATCCAACAAACACCAAAGCCAGCAGGTCAGGCCATCCCCAAGATCTTGCCCGTGCTTCAGCAGGTTTCAGGTCAGACCCAGAAGCACAAGGACTGTTCTAGCAAATTCTTTGTGTGGATTTCCCTGAGAGGGAATAGGGAAGAGGTGAATTCTCTGGCTTTCAACTCTCTTCTGGGCACTGAGAAAGGTGGGTTTTAGCTCATTGGGCTCTCCTGGTGATCGGTTCCCATCTCCTCCAGAAGAAGGGTAATAAAAGCAGTTGGAGGGAGAGCCTCTAGTGTTTCTCCTGTGGCTCAACAAAGGCTCTGTTTCCCAGGTCATCACTCTACCATCATCTCTGTCAGCATCTACAGCTACAGGAGGGAAAGACAAATCTGTCCTGCTGCTGGATCATTTGCTGGCTATTGAAACATTAATTCATCATCACACCACTGAGAATGGGGGAAGAAGGAAGGTTACTTCAACCCACAGCTATTGTGCAACGCAGCTGGAGTGATGGCAGGGTTTTCCTTGAGGAGGAGAAGAACCAGTGGGAATTTAGGAGAAGGAGGTATAGGAGTGAGGTCCAGGCTTGCTGCTGAGGGGCAGTTTTAGGGAGACACAACC